TGCCCTTGTTTGTTTTTATAATTCTTTAGACAGTAATTTTGAGGTGAAAACTGCATTATTTCTATTTATATCTTCTTGCTATTCTTGAAGGAAGCCTAGATTGTCCCACAGGGGGCGGGGAAAAAAAACCAACCACTCTTTACTCTGCCAGCACATCCATGGTATGGGTTTCCTAACATTAAGTCAAATCTTATTAGCAGAAAAAGGCTGTGTATTTTGAAGAAAATTGCTAAAAGGGTCTTAAGACTTTGAATTTTAATTGGATCTTTTTGCTTTTAGAAATATTTTAGTATCTCTAAATATTCAAAATCTGGCTCCAGTGCTTACCAGGTCTTTTTGTTTCAGAAGAGCTAAGGTTCTTTTAGCACTGTCTGAATGGGAAGTTAGTTTGTCTGTAACTGCTTCTAAACTTTCCCCACAGTTCCTGCACACAGCTAAAGTGGCAGTTCTTGGGTATTGGTTTTTTTTTTTGCAAAGACATGATGTCACAGCTATCAAATTTAAAGAGTGGTTTATTTTTCAAATGCATAAAGATGCTGGCATAAAATTGCAGTGTTTATAAAATTTCGTTTTTAGTCTTAGTCACAAGGACCTGGTAAGAATTTTTTCTTCTGATTGTGCTGAGCTACACGCTGAGCTATGTGCTCCTAATTGCTGTTGGGAGGAACTCTGTGAAATCTTGCAAGTCTGTGGATGGTGGGACTGGTACACATACCAAATCGGCTGGTTTTGCCCTTTAGGGTGGTTTTTTTTTTTTTTTATTTGAAATCTTGAGCATCTGGGGACTGGGAAAGTGTCCTCCCTGTGGCTGGAAGGCACGATGTCTATCGAGGCAATTAACTGTCGCCTATTACAAACCTCCTCTCTATAGACAGACTGCTTTCTTTCAGAGATTGGGATGGGAAAGGGGGTTGGCCAGGAATTTAATTTGCCTGATTTAATTGCAACTAGTTAAGAGATCAAGGAAGCAGAAATGGCCCTTTTTTTTTTTCCATGGTATTTCTTCTCCTGAGCTGAAAACATGACCCGCATGTCTAACGAACCTCCACCTCTCTGGGTCTCCTCTGGTCCCACCACCAGCCCCCACAGCAGCAGGAACGAGACAAATCCTTGCAGAAACAGGCTGGTACCTCCTGCACGGAGGTCTCTGACCCACGATCCTTCCTACCCCCACGGCACCCAGCCTCCAGGGCAACGCGGTGGGTCGGAGCTGCTTGTATTAATTCCTTTCTGCACTGTTTGAGACCTGTGCAGGACTCACCTGAAAAGCAATTAATTGGGAAGGGCCACTCACAGGGGCCTGATCTAACTCTTCATGAACCAGAGGCAAAAAGGAGGATTATTTTTTTTTTTTGCCTGAACCATTTTTTGTCCTCGGAAAACGTGTAATTGTTTTGCTGTTCTCCTTTCATTTAACATTTTAATTGCTCCCAGAGTCAAGAGCCCTGACGCAGCTGGAGCCCGGTCTGCTCGCCCTATTTACCTGAATGGCTTCAGGACAGAGAAGGTCTGCCAGTGACTGCAGCACGATCCTGACCTCGTGTCACTATGCTCTGGCACAAGTGAGGGCTGATGGTGGTCATGAACTACACATAACGCAGTGTTATGGGCTGGAAATCGCTCAATCTCTGCCTGGCATTTCGAAGTTATAATATTAACCTTTCTAAAGCGCTCATTGAATTTCCACTCAGAAGCGTTAAGACATTTTAAAATGGACCTACTTGTCTACAACATGTTTCAAAAGTTTACAGTTTTCTTTCTTTTCAGCATCTTTTCCCAAACCAATGCAAGATACAACTAACAAACCCACAAGGCTCTCCAAGCTGACCATATTTTTTGCTCCTTCATCAAATTTAGAAACAGTGATATTGACAACGCCTGTGGACTGTGATAATTTTTCTGCTGACATTACCTTGGCTTCCTGCTCAACACCATAATACTTCCAAACTCTGGGCTGTTTGGTCTCTTTTCTATCGTCTCTTAAACTTTCTCCCACGTTGGGGATCTTCTGGAAGGGAGACCCTTGCATGTCCTGCTCCAGTCTCTTCCTGAGTTATGCCTTGTATACCCTTTACAAAACAGGTATTGAGTAAACTGATTTCATGTATCTAACTCAGGAAACAATAACCCCCAAACACCATACAGGACACACAGCAATAAGGACAGAATTCCTTATTTAATTTTAAATTCAGGTGTGTGCCTTGGCAGCAGAGTTCCTCATGCAGAGCCCTGATCCTTGTCCGACCCGCTGCAAAAGATGCCATGATCAGCTCTGGGTCATCGTGGCTTTTTGAGCCCTGCCTGTAGAAAGGTCTGTCTCATCTCCTAATTCTGATTCTCAGTTGTCATAGAATCATAGATTAGCTTGGGTTGGAAGGCATCTTTAAAGGTCATCTAGTTCAACGCCCCTGCAATGAGCAGGGGTCCAACCTGACCTTGAATGTTTCCAGGGATGGGGCATCTGCCCAGGGATGGGGCAACCTGTTCCAGTGTTTCACCAACTTCACTGTAAAAATTTCTTTCTTATATCTGCTCTGAATCTAGCATCTTTCAGTTTAAAATTGTTACCCTTTGTCCTATGCCTATAGGCCTTACTAAAAAGTCAGTCCCCATCTTTTCTGTAGGCCCCCTTTTAGCACTGCAAGGGGCTATAAGGTCTCCCAGGAGCCTTCTCTTCTCCAGGTTGAACAACCCCAACTATTTCAGCCTGTCCTCATAGCAGAGGTGCTTCATCCCTCTGATCATCTTTGTGGCTCTCCTCTGGACCCATTCCTACAGGTCCATGTGCTTACCGTGCTGAGGGCCCCAGAGCTGGACACACAGCTCCCAGTGGGGTCTCACCAGAGGAGAGTAGAGGGGGAGAATCACCTCCCTGGACCTGCTGGCCATGCTTCGGCTGATGCACCCCAGTGGGCCTTCTGGTCAGCAAGCGCACATTGCCAGCTCATGTCCAGCTTTTCATCCACCAGTGCCCCTTAGTCCCTCTCCTCAGGGCCACTCTCCATGCCTTCATCCCCAAGCCTGTACTGACACCAGGGCTTGTCCCAGCCCAGGTGGAGGACCCTGCATTTGGCCTCGTTGAACCTGATGGTCTTCACATGGGCCCACTTCTCAGGCTTGTCCAGGTCCTTCTGAATGGCGTCATGTCCCTCAGGTGTGTCAACTGCACCACCCAACTTGGTGTCATCAAGCTGATGAATTCTATCCCAGTAATGTTCCAAAGCTGAGTTGTTTACAGCTAGACTTGCTGTTTTGCTAAGCACTTACTGTCCCCTGCCCTTTTTTTTGTGAGGAAGCAGGGTAACACTTTTGGTTTACACTCCGCCTTGGTCTAAAATCTGATATTCACTCAGGAAGCGTGACAATTTGTTGTTTCTCAGCACAGAGGAGCAGAGATGGGGATTTGACTCCTCAGCCAGGAAGGAGCAAACCACCTGGGCAGTGTTTACAATTCCCATGTTGCTAGATCTCACCAGCCTGCTTGCCCTCATGTCCTGCCCACCCCACTGCGGAGCAGCACACCATGGTTTTTCTCTCCATCTCTCTTTTTCATTCTCTCCTGCAGCTTGCTGTCAGGTGTGCACCTTGCTCCTTCCCCAGGGTTGCTGTGTTAGCAGCTCCAGGTCTTGTGGCTCTTTGCTGTGCAAAAATGCCACTGCTGGCAAATGCTGCTCTCTCAGCAAAAGGCTTCCCTAACCTGCCACCACAGGGAACTAAACTGATTTCCATACTGTTTACTTTGGGTGGATGTTTCACAGAATTTAAAAAGGAAAAGGGGGGGGGAGAAGTAACCAAAAAAAAGTGGTGTATTTCCTCATGCCTCTTAGTAGAAAAAGCACCTTGCTGAGTTTTCCCTGACTGAACTTCCTCCTCTCCCATGGCCAGGTGTTGTGGCAGTGCCTTCGTCTTGGTGTAGATGAAGAGCTGCTAGTCCCCAGGGCCACACGTCCCCTCTAGACAGCTCCAAGTCATGGAGAGGCCGCCGAGGTCAGGGTGGACAGCAGTGCTGCAGAGATTCCCTGGAAGTGTTCACAACCAGGCTGGATGGGGCTTTGAGCAACCTGGTCCCCCCCCTCTCTGGGGACACCTCTCCCTGAGCATGCAGAAAGCAGGGGTGAAAACTCCAGTGTTTCACAGGTTGTATTTTATATGCTAGAACTTTTTTTCCTAGAGATCACAAGGAAAAGGTGCCACAGGAAGGACAGGAGGAGCTGACAGCCGATGGCAAGCCATAGACATTTTCAGGTAGAGACAGGGACCTGAGGACCAGGAGACAGGGACCAAACTGGCACACATAGACACGTGGCAGCAAAATTTGATGAAAAAAATCAGGTGTAGAGTGAACAGAAAGGGGATGAAAAACTAGCCATGCATCTGCTTTCCAGTCCTGTCCTGGGACTGCTCTGCCCCATGGTTCCTTGCCACTGGCCTGGGGGTTCTGCCTGCTGGGCAGGGAGCTCTGCATTTTCTGGTTTTCCCTTTTTTTTTTTTTTTTTTTTCTGTTTTGCAGCTGGATATCAAACACATGAGCAAGACTTATCCCTGCCTGGCCATCTGCGAGTGTCTGTTATCATCTGGGGTCAGTCAGCAGCTGGTGCAGTCTGTCCCTGACTAGGCTTGCTGCAAGCCCTCTCCTCCCCAAGTTAGCCCCTGGAAACCTCTGACCATTGCTCTGCCTGCTCCTCTGCCCCAGGGGCAACACACGGCCATAATCTAGAAGTGGCCTGCACAAGAAAACGCAAGATGTAGGAGGATTTACTTTTAAGGGAGGAGTATCTGGCAGCCTAAGCAATGCTAGCAGGCTCCAGAGAGAGCTGTTTAAATTTGTGACACGTCAGCAGTGGTGCTGTGGCAGATAAACACTCTCTGACTCATCCTCCTTCATGTGCTCGCCACAAGCTTCCAAGGCTTGCTGCAAGACAAGCCCTCGGCCTCGGTGTGGGACTTGTGCCAGAGGTGGCACCCACCGTGCTCAGCTGTGGTCCTGTCCCTGACCCCACGTCCTGCCTCGCTGCCCCCTAAACCTTCCCACCACAGGAAACATTCCCGCTGCTCCCCGACCAGAGAACTGCTGGGAAAAGATCTCTGTGTGGCCAGGGGGGGTTCTTTCCCTCGAAGGAGGCTCTTGTTTTTGGTTTCCCTCTTTGGCAGCCCCGGGTGACATCCCTGGGGCTGGCTGTGGTCCGGGACCTTGCTGCTGCAAAGCCACAGCAGTGACTGCAGGGTGAAAGCCTGGGAAGGAGCAGCAAGTCACACCATTTTTAGAGAAATTGCTAAGTTCGAATGCCTTTATGTAATTATCATGACATGAACAATTCAGCAGTTCATTTATCTTCTCTTTTAATTTTTTTTTTCCTCATAAGCTCACGTATTCTCCCTTTCATTACTGTCAGCTCTTCCTTTCTCAAGAAAACTCATTAGCCTGCTGCCTGCTAGCAGATAACAAGATTGCAGCCTAGTACACAGAGATTTGGGGTTTAAAAGGCTCCCAGAAAATACATGTTTAAAGACTTGCTCTTGAGAGATGCTGACAAGCTCCATCTCTGAGCAATTTTAGGCTATACCCAACCTCCTGGGACACCATGTCCATTAGCCCATGACCTTCTGTGTTAGTAAGCCCCAAAAAATATACAGCGATCAATGTTTGCCAAGGCAGGCAGGGTCACCTTCTGCATGCAAAGCACCACATACCCTGTGCAAGCCTTTTTCCTGAAACAAGCCAGCCCAACAGGGTGGCTACAGCTGATGCTCCCCTGGCCACTCCTGTGCCAAGCCATAATGCTCCCCTGGCTCTGCCTGCTCTGGGCAAACCCTGACCTCAGGTGGACAGCAGGTCTTTTGGCGTCCTGGATGCATGAACACGTGGGCCCAGCTTCAGTTTTTCAGATGCAAATCACAAGTTCTTGTGATACAGGCACAGGTGTTAGCTTTTAATTGGAAATGAGACCAGGTGGAGCTGCCCTTATCATAATTTAGACTGTTTTTTCTCTCAGAGGCTCTTTGCTGTTGCATCACTGCCTGCAGTGCTCCCAGTATTATGGCCTGGTGACTTAGGAGTTACACCCGGCTGAAGAAGAATATAATTTGATAGGGCACTGCTGCTGCCCTGGGACTTCCCAGGACACATAGTTTACCTCTAGCCATAGACCCAAAGAGGCTCCATTCTGCTCCACCTTACGAGAGCCTTGTGTGAATAGTTTGTCATTGCACAGCTCAGGAAAACAGCACCTTTGGCAAACACGGCGCTATATTACCGTGACAGGGTTTCTGGTTGTGTTGCTAAAGGGCAGAGAGTGAAAATGGAACGACTGCAGGGTGCTCAGTGGAAAAGCAGCCGGGTGAGACAGAGGCTCCAGCACGATGCTTTTCCTTTGGCTTGTTTTTCTGCTTCAAAAGGTTTCTCAGTCCTCACAATCTAAGCAAGGGAGACACTGCAGCCCTGAAACGAACCTCCTGTTTGTCTTACCCATGACATTACACAAGAATCTCCACCCCTTGTCAGCCTCACTGCAGCCCCCTGGGCTTTGCAGAGGAAAGAGCCCACAAAGCTGTTCTCAGAGCTCCTCCCTATCCAGCATGCTCTCTCTTTTCTCCTTGATGCCCAGATGTGGTCTGCAGCCTCAATCAATGCCATCTCAGAATGCTCTGACACAGAAAAGATCCGATGGTGCACAAGCTGGCTTCACCTCTGTTGTGAGGCTGTGATTTACAGGAGCTTGTGGGCATGGTGGCAGGTCACTTGATGATGTGTGGAAGACTGAGAGGTCCCAGTCAGGATGCCCTCAGCCACATCTCCCTGCTTTCATCTTTCCTTCATTCCCTAGGACCATTTTACTTCAAAGACATCCTGCCTTGGGGAGCATTCTCCCTAAGAGAAAGGACTTTTTGTGAAGCAGAGTCTGGTCTCACACAGCACAGGAGCCAAACCCGTGGGAGGTGAAGCTCACCACGGCAGGCAGAGCTGGGCCTGGCTGGTGGTCCCTTTCCATTTTTACTGTCTGCCTCATCGAATCCATATCTCTCCTGTGATGAACTGGATGGTGCGACATTCAGCCGCAGGTCAGGAGAACAAAGGCCACAGTCAGCAGCAGGAATCACATGAGTGGGATTTCCAGAGGTGACCAGTTCTGTCACCAGATACAACTGAACAAGGGCTGAGCTCTAAATAAATCAAACAAAAAGGCCCAAACAAACCAAACTCCTACTGGGCTTTGTTTTCAGATTACTGAAAAGGAGTTAGCAACTTCCATGTGATGACGGATGACCTGATGAAGATACAACATGTGTGCTCAAAACAGCACCTTTGGCAAACACGGCGCTATATTACCGTGACAGGGTTTCTGGTTGTGTTGCTAAAGGGCAGAGAGTGAAAATGGAACGACTGCAGGGTGCTCAGTGGAAAAGCAGCCGGGTGAGACAGAGGCTCCAGCACGATGCTTTTCCTTTGGCTTGTTTTTCTGCTTCAAAAGGTTTCTCAGTCCTCACAATCTAAGCAAGGGAGACACTGCAGCCCTGAAACGAACCTCCTGTTTGTCTTACCCATGACATTACACAAGAATCTCCACCCCTTGTCAGCCTCACTGCAGCCCCCTGGGCTTTGCAGAGGAAAGAGCCCACAAAGCTGTTCTCAGAGCTCCTCCCTATCCAGCATGCTCTCTCTTTTCTCCTTGATGCCCAGATGTGGTCTGCAGCCTCAATCAATGCCATCTCAGAATGCTCTGACACAGAAAAGATCCGATGGTGCACAAGCTGGCTTCACCTCTGTTGTGAGGCTGTGATTTACAGGAGCTTGTGGGCATGGTGGCAGGTCACTTGATGATGTGTGGAAGACTGAGAGGTCCCAGTCAGGATGCCCTCAGCCACATCTCCCTGCTTTCATCTTTCCTTCATTCCCTAGGACCATTTTACTTCAAAGACATCCTGCCTTGGGGAGCATTCTCCCTAAGAGAAAGGACTTTTTGTGAAGCAGAGTCTGGTCTCACACAGCACAGGAGCCAAACCCGTGGGAGGTGAAGCTCACCACGGCAGGCAGAGCTGGGCCTGGCTGGTGGTCCCTTTCCATTTTTACTGTCTGCCTCATCGAATCCATATCTCTCCTGTGATGAACTGGATGGTGCGACATTCAGCCGCAGGTCAGGAGAACAAAGGCCACAGTCAGCAGCAGGAATCACATGAGTGGGATTTCCAGAGGTGACCAGTTCTGTCACCAGATACAACTGAACAAGGGCTGAGCTCTAAATAAATCAAACAAAAAGGCCCAAACAAACCAAACTCCTACTGGGCTTTGTTTTCAGATTACTGAAAAGGAGTTAGCAACTTCCATGTGATGACGGATGACCTGATGAAGATACAACATGTGTGCTCTTGAATAGTTTGGGTTGGAAGGGACCTTTAAAAGTCATCTAGTCCACCCCCCCTGCAATCACAGAATCAATCACAGAATCACAGTGGTTGGAAGGACTCTTAGCCTTGATGCTGCAGAAAGACTGGCTGCAGTTTGAAGAGGACCAAGCCTCCTCCTCTCCTGATAGCCTTAGCTAAAACCCTTTCTCACCCGTACTCGGGATTAAGCAGTTCAGCTGTCTGCAGATCTGTTGGATATGCTCACCCAGTGGTATTTCCTGAACCAAACTAAATCCGATTTATCATAACAGTTTTTTAAAAAAAAAAAAAAAAAGGCAGAAGAGAAATCTCAAAGATAGGGATTTTTTAGGTTTATGGAAAATTTGGTGATACTGGGATAAAATTACAGTCACTCCAAGGCAGAACGGGAAATCAACTTCATATGGCTTCAAAATAGCTTGGAACACGTGTGCATATTTGTTGGAAAATTATTATTTCCTCCAGGCCAAACCATGAAGATGTGCCTGGTCCCTGGCAGTTCAGGGACAGCAGATGGAGAAGACAGGGAGCCCAGGCACAAGATGTGGAGGAGTCAACCCTCTTCCAGAGAGCTGCTTTGCAGCAAGGCTCAGGGGGGTGATCAGGCTCTACTGGCCTTCACATATATTTCCAGGCATTCTTGCCATGTGAAAAAAATCAAAGACTCTCCTGTGAGTCTGCTGAGATGCACTTTTTGGACCTGAGCTTTCACTGGGGCAGCGCCTCTCAAGGGAAAAATACAATTTCTGGCCCTGGGGCCTGGGTAAGGGTCTGTCTTGGAAGAAATTCTTCAGGAGTCTTAATATCTGCACAAAACAGCTTGTGGCTATTAACAGGGTTTTCCTCAAAAACATCCCCTTTGCTGGATGCAGGAGATTCAATGATCTCTCTGTGTTTCTCAATAGCAAAAGGAGTGCCCACGTGATGACCCTGCGCATCCTGATCCAGAGGGTCTGCAGAGCTGCCTTTGGCAGTGCTTTGTGCCACGGACCCCACCTCAATCCTGCTGCCTGTTTCTGGGTTCCTCTGCTGCAGCCAGTGGGCTCATCAGCCTGCTTGTGCTGCTGCCAGACCTGCAACGCTGAAACAATAAAGATGATGTTAACATTCCCAAGCTAGTGTTTATTCTGTGAAAAATTGACATATACGGGAATGCCTTAACCCTGCCAGGGTCTCAGTGGAAGAAGAGTGATGATTGCCCATCCTGCACAGAGGGGGAACAGGGACAGTGAGGGTGTAACACTTAACCCTATGGAGGTGAAAGCTGAAGGCTGATGGGACAGCTGTAGAGTGACTTCTCTGCTGGCAGAGGACTCACAATTACCTCTTTCTTTCTACTCTTTCTCTACCTCTTTCTGTGTGCTTTAACAATACCTGTCCTCTTAAGTTCACTCCTTCTGGAGGTTACTGATAAGAAATTGGCTAAAAGTATCTCAGTAACTAAGCTCCCCGAGTTCACCCCACTATCCTCACTCTCGTACAAGAGCATTATTAATTGCAGTTCCCCATCACATAGAGGTATTGCAATGAAAAATAAACCCCAGGTGCTGCTAACCCATGGCAAAGGAAGCTGTATAAACACATTACATCCAAAGCTAGTGCAGGACCCAGGTCTGTGACTGTAGCCACCATTCATGCCTTTTCCATACAGATGTATGTAAAGGGACACTGGAAGGCTAATAATCAAGAAATGAATTTTTTTTAAAAATATCACCCCTAAGCAAACATTTCTGTGGTTTGGGCATCATCCCAAGAGCTAAAGGGAATTGTTCTTTTTATAGATGTGCTTTGGCTCATACACTTTGGGCTGTTCTTTGTTTGCTTGACCCTTTCCTGCTGGAGAGTAAGCAGTAAGTCATTCTTCACTTGTAACGCCAGAACTTTCTGGGCCTTTAGTCTTCTGGCTTGGGTGCAGTAGCTGTACCAGCTACTGTTGATTTCAGTTCCAGTAAAACTTTCAGTTGTTTGTAGATGCCATTGCGACTTTCACAACTTCATCGAGAAAAGCAAAGGCAGCAAGATGGTCCAGAGACGAAAAGCTGTACTGTGGCAAATTGGAGTGGGAAGATCACAGGTTTCTCAGCAACTGCCAGATACAAGCAAGAGGCAGGGGGCACCTTCAGGGAGCTTCTGGCGAGACACAAAGTTTGCCCTTGACAGCCCTGAGGAGAGGAACAAAACATGAAGTTATCTCCCACGCCCCGGAGGAATCTGCACCAAAGGACATCCGCTCAGTTGGTTTGTCCATGACCTGGAGGCATGCTGGAACCCAGAGCTCTCCCAGCCACCACCACACCTCTCCGGCAGCGCAGGTGTCCATCCAGCCCTCTCAACCAGCTTTTGGGGGTGCAGCTACGTTCTTAGGGGCATGGTGATGTGATGTGCTGCTGAAAACACCCATGGAGGAGTTGGGAAACTAAACTGTCCCCCCTTCTGCTATAATTTAGATGACTTCAGGGGTTGAAAGTAATTTTATGCAGTCAAAAGCCTGTTTATGTAACAGCTTTTATCAGAGGCAGGAAAATGCAGCATCAGTATATACACAAATGTATATTTATATATGCAACTCACAGAGACTGGCAAACACCCATTCTTTCAACGCCTGTGGCTACGAAGGATTACTCATCCGCCAGCACAAACACCCATTAAACAAACATTCCTCAAGGACTTTCCTGCATCTCACAGTTTGATGCTGGTGAAACCCATGCTCTTGGTTGGCTTGGCCCAGCTTTTCACCAGTGTCACCTCCTAGGGAGAGCGTCACTGAAGCATTGCTGCAGCCCAGAAAAGCCTCTCCAGTTACTGTCATGTTCACCTTTACCGGTGGTGGGCTAGGGGACTTCTCCACAGCCCTGTGGGACTCCAGCAGAGCCCCACTGAAAGCCACCGTGCTGTTTCTCATCAGAGCCACCATATCTCATCCAGGGCAGCTGTGGCCCTGTCCTCTCCTACTCATCCAGAACAGCTCCAGACATCTCCATCCTCAGGAAACCTAATTTGTAAGGGTGCAGCTACCCAGTTAGATGTTTATAGGCGTTTGCCTACCCCCCAGAAGAACTGCTGGCCCCTAAACACCTTAGAGGACACCTCGTGGATAAAAAGCCCAGCAGAGCAGCTCAGGCTGAGGGCTTGCCTTGGGATGTGAAGATTAAAGCTCAGGCAAGCACAGAGGTGGAAGGGGTACTATGACATTCTGAATGGATACCTTCCTCTCTCTCCAGCTGTTCCCTTACATGGGAAACACTGTCAAAAAAAAGATGGTTTTAAATCACTGGACTTCCATAAGGTTTGTATCTGACAAAATGCCTGTTTATTTAACTATTTCAGCAATCTTTCTGTAAAACTGAGTTCCTCCACAGGAAAAGAATTATTTTTGTTACAAAATTGCCATTGTGCTTGACAAAAAATTCTGAAGCCAGTAGAACCCCTGGGGTATGTAACTACCAACAAGCATTGAAAAGCTGGGAAAAACAACATGAGGCTGTGAAACCTAGCTGTATCAGTTTTTAATCATCTACATTTCTCACTTATGTCAGCACTTGAATAAATCAAAGTCACAGTCTTGGGAAGACCCTATGGGGTGTAAGCAAGGCCACCGCAGGTCAGTAGTGCCAAAGCAAGAGCTGTTTTTTCATTTCACTGGCATCTTTCAAACAGAACAAAGCAAAACAAAAAGCATTGGAACATAATTTGCTGGGTGGATGGGAATACACTTTATACAGTTACTATGGAAGTGTCTAGGATTACAGTATTCAGGGCCTTCTGCAAGGGGAGAGATCTGAGGTGAAGCTCCTGTTCTCCATGGGACACAGAGAAGATCTGATTTTTGATGGATGCCCGAAGAGCCAAGCTAGAAAGCTGTCTACTGGTGCCTGCTTCCCCCTGAGCTTTGCAAAATTTAGTTAAGGGCAGACTTCCCATATTCCTGGAAGGGGGAAAAAAAAATGTTTTGGGGTAACTATGCTCTGACCTCTAACCCAAAGGCTGCTTCAGCTGCCCCCACTCCTCCTGCTGCACCATTCTTTCTACAGAGGTTAATGCTTTGCTAGGGAAATACAATTTCTCCTGCTCCCCCCGCCCTAGCACACCCAGAGTAACCACGATGTTGCAATCCCTGTGCACATGCTGCTGACTTGCAAATGACCCATCTGGCTACCCCCCCAAATTGACAACTGAACATGGCTGGCTCTGGTGGACCGCAACAAAGATGGACATTGCAAAAAAACCCAAAACAAAACAGCACAAAAAGCAGAAGCGGTGCATTCATCTCTTCCAAGATTCTGTTTGCTTTCTTTCCCTTTATCTCTTGTGCGAGTCATTCCTCTCCTTACTCATGTTCTTGTGATAGAGTTTGTTTTCCCTGGCCTCTCTCCAAAGTTTCCTTCAGAGAGAACTGTCCTTTCCCCTAGAACATGTCTGTGTTCTGTATTTTCCAGCAGCGACTTCGCTGTGGACTGAAAAGACGAGTGTCAGTCACAGCTCAGTGTGGTTTTGCAGTAGTCAGTGAGGTGTTTCTCATAGAGCAGGAGAGAAGAAAAAATAAAGTTTCTCTAAAGCTGGCTGCATTTATTGCCCTTAGTCCTTCTCAGGACTCTCTGCAGTAGAGAGAGTATTCTGACCACAACTGCACGCTCAGAGCCTAAGGCCCTGCTGGCAGATGCTCCTGGAATTTCTGATCTCTGCATCTGTTTGCCTGTACCACACAGAATCACACAGAATCACAGAATCTTCTAGGTTGGAAGGGACCTTAAAGATCATCTTGTCCAACCATCAACCTAACTGACAAAAACAGACACCCACACAACAAACAAGGAGCATCATCACTAAACCAGACCTCCCAGCACTACATCAACCCGTCTTTTGAACACCTCCAGGGATGGTGCTTCAACCACCTCCCTGGGCAGCCCATTCCAATGTCTGATAACCCTTTCAGTGAAAAATTTTTTCCTAATATCCAGCCTGAACCTACCCTGGTGCAACTTGAGGCCATTTCCTCTTGTCCTGTGACTTGAGAAAAGAGATCGATCCCCATCTCTCTACACCCTCCTTTCAGGTAGTTGTAGAGAGCAATAAGGTCTCCCCTCAGCCTCCTCTTCTCCAGGCTGAACAACCCCAGCTCCCTCAGCCTCTCCTCATAAGACTTGTGCTCCAGACCCCTCACCATCTTTGTTGCCCTTCTCTGGACCTGCTCCAGCACCTCAATGTCTTTTTTGTGGTAGGGGGCCCAAAACTGGACACAGTACTCAAGGTAAGGCCTCACCAGTGCCGAGTACAGGGGGATGATCACCTCTCGGGCCCTACTCACCACACTGTACCTGATACAGGCCAGGATGCTGTTGGCTTTCTTGGCCACCTGGGCACACTGCTGGCTCATGTTCAGCTGACTGACAGAGAAATCAGTGAGAGCAGGCACCTCCACTGCAGTCCCTCAGCCAATGCTGTCTTGTCCTGCCTCCCACTACCCTTCTGGAGCTGTGGGAACCAGGGTACTGTGGGTTTAGCTGGTATCAGACTCAAAGCAACAGAAACCACAAAGGCCACACCATGGCTGAGGGGGACTGTGCAGGTGACGCTGGCTGCTGCTGACACCACGTTTATAGAAAGCAGACAGGCTGCTATACTCCTAATTAATTTTGTGAGTAAGCTAACAGATCTAGTAGAGGCTTATGACCTTCTCCCTCTTGCCCGGGACCAGTATCAGGCACAGAGCTACGGAGTACACAATATTTTAATGGGCTTTTTTCATAGCTATAACACCCTTCAGTGTAACATTCACGCAGATCATCTCCACCAGTTAAAAAATAAATAATGCATGAATTCCTACAGCATGGAATATTGTTATATTCCACCTACTCTCAAAATGTATAGCTCTAATCACGCACACAAAGGTGGCTAAAAATCCATGTGAAATACCTCTATGTTGGCAAGCACCTCATGTAACCACCTCACTCACCAAAGACATGTAAAACGAATCTGTATCATGCTACTGAAAAATAGGTCTTGATCACAGACAGGCAGGTGCAGCAGAACCACCTTCTAAGCCATGAAATATGGTTATCAGAAGAGAGAGGGATAACACTGTCCAAATCAGTGCTCATGATACAGAACTAACTGACTGTCAAACTACAACAGTTTCAGGTTTGCATTTTTACCAATTCACTCCATGGCAGCCAGTGCAACCTCTAACTTCCCTGTTCCTCACACTTTTTTGTGGCACAGTGTTTTAAGTTCTTCAGGAAAAAAGATGTTGCATAAAGAACAGATAATGCAGGCAAGGAATAGATGACAGGCGTGGGAGTAAGATGATTATCTACATTCACAACCAGAGACAAGGTTCCTGATCCCAGAGAGATGCACTCTGAGATAATTAACCCCAGCTAACTGGCAGAGGAAACATTATAGAAGAGGGTTTATTGTACAAAGGGAAGAAAGAGCATTCCATACATACAAGATTTTTCCCAAGTACAAGGGAGAACCAGCAGTTTAAAAACAAAGAAATTAATATAGCAACACCTAAACATGCAGCTTGCCCATACCATCTATGTTTATTTTTAAAGCAAAATTGCTTTAAAATTTAACATTTAACATTAACATTTAACAATTTAACATTAATTTAGCATTTAACAATGCCTTCTAAACAAAGGTCCATATTTGTTTTTAAAAGCCTCTGTCAAGATGTTTTTTATACGTATTTTTCAAATGGATGAATCTGTAAGTGATTCAAAGGGGTGCCAGAGGCTCAATCACACAGAGTAGCATAAGCAGATGTGCAAACCCTGGCCACAGACATGTATCCAAGTCCCACATCAAAAACACTAGGACTCTCTTTTTCCTAAAGGTATACGTCCCTGACTTACTCTCCAAGCAAAATGTAGCAGCTCTGCCTTGGTGCAAACCCTAATTTACTTCAGCAACATCTTAAGACCTTGTCGATCTTATTCTTTTCCTTCTTAATCAAGTTAAGGCCAGGCTGGATGGGGCTTTGAGCAACCTGGTCTGGTGGGAGTTGTCCCTGCCCTTAGGAGGGGGGTTGGGAATTGATGATCTTTAAGGTCCCTTCCAACTCTGACCATTCTATGATTCTAGGTTTTCTGATTTTTTTTCAAGGGAAGTGTGGAGTGAAAGGTACAGGATTTTGAAAAGAAATCTGAAGTAGTTAGGA